GGTCAGCGAGGTGCAGCTCAGCCCCCCGCCCTCTTCCCACTGCCGGGCTCAAAAGCCAACATCTGCAAAAGCGTTTTGCTCCGTTTCCAAAACCTAACGTGTGCTGGGTCCCCTCCCACTCGTGATGCCCCTGTCCCCCCCACCCAGGTTCTCGGTGAAGACCCTGCTGGAGAAGTACACGGCAGAGCCCATCGACGACTCCTCCGAGGAGTTTGTTAACTTCGCTGCCATCCTCGAGCAGATCCTCAGCCATCGCTTTAAAGGTAACGCCCCTGGCCTGTCCCCGTCCCCATCCCCATCCTTCGTGGTGGATGGGGACGCATGTGCCACTGCTGGAGACCGTGTCTGGGCTCTGGCTTGGGGCTTTCGGGGCCCGTGCGGTTTTGGCAGCCATCGACCGCAGCCCCTCGTCCCCGCAGGCCCCGTCAGTTGGTTCAGCTCGGATGGGCAGCGCGGGTTTTGGGATTACATCCGCCTGGCCTGCAGCAAGGTCCCCAACAACTGCGTCAGCAGCATCGAGAACATGGAGAACATCAGCACCTCCAGGGCCAAGGTCGGGAAGGTGCCAACCCTGCCCTGTCCCTGTCCCCATCCTTGTCCCAACTCTATCTATGCCTCCATCCTTTCCCTGCCTCCATCGCTGTCCACAGCCCCATCACCATTGCTGGCCCATGGACCCATCCCCATCCCCAGCCCATCCCATCACCAACCCAACCCCAACCCCATTCCTGGCCCTTGGATCCATCCCTGGCCCTTGGATCCATCCCATCCGCATCCCATCCCATCCAATCCCCATCCCCATCCCCATCCCCATCCCATCCCATCCCATCCCATCCCATCTCTGTTCCCATGCCCTTTCTGCCCCATCCCTTCAGCCTTGCCCTGCCCCATCCCTGTAGGACCCCATGGGGTCACTGGGACAAAACAGGAGCTATGTGTCCCCATGGGGGGATAATGGGGCCGAAAGCAGCTCCCAGGTGGGACCACCCTCCTGCCGGTGCCCAGAGCCTTGAGAGCAGGTGGGACCATGGTGGGGGACACCCAATGGTGGCACCCGATGGGTGCCCATCCTCAGGGCTGCCCCACGGGGCTGTGCCTTGCAGGGCCGGGCCTGGATCCGCGTGGCACTGATGGAGAAGCGCATGAGTGAGTACATCTCCACAGCCCTGCGGGACACACGGACCACCAGGTGAGCACGGCCGGCCACGACCACGATGTGTGGGCACCACGGTGCATTTTGGGGTGCTGGTGGGTGCGTTTCGGGGTGCTGGCGGGTGCACATGCAGCCACGTCTCTCCCCACAGGCGGTTTTACGACGACGGGGCCATCATGCTGCGGGAGGAGTCCACGGTGCTGACGGGGATGCTCATCGGGCTCAGCGCCATCGACTTCAGGTAGGGGCCGGTGGCACGGTGGGACGTGGGTGCCCTGCCTTGACTGTGTCCCCCTCTGGGGGTGCCCTGACCCCCTCTGCTCCTTCTGCCACCCCTCAGCTTCTGCCTGAAGGGCGAGGTGATGGACGGGAAAACGCCCGTGGTCATCGACTACACACCCTACCTGAAGTTCACGCAGAGGTAGGAGATGGGGGGGCCCTCTCTGGGGTAGGGACCCCCCTGTCTCACCCTTGCACCCCACTGGGACTCCATGGTGCCACTGACCCCTCCATGGCCCCCCAGCTACGATTACCTGAGCGAGGATGAGGAGCGGGGCAGCGTGGAGAGCAGCACGAGCGAGGACAGCTCCCCCGAGCACCCCTACCTGCCCCTGGTGACCGACGAGGACAGCTGGTACAACAAATGGCGCAAGATGGAGCAGAAATTTCGCATCGTTTATGCCCAAAAGGTACCGGGATCCAGGATGGGGCCTTTGGGTACCAACAACCCCGGGATGCTCCAGCCTGGAGCCATCCCTGCACCGCTCCTGCATCCTTTCATCCCGCTGCTGCGGTGACCCAGCCCTGGCCTTGTCACCTTGGGGACATCGCGGGGGTCCGGTGGGGGGGCGCTGCTGACTTTGGCCTCGCGCAGGGGTACCTGGAGGAGCTGGTGCGGCTGCGGGAGTCGCAGCTGAAGGACCTGGAGGCGGAGAACAAGAGCTGAAGGCCCGGGAGGCGGAGAACAAGCGGCTGAAGCTGCGCCTGGAGGAGGTGATGGTGCAGAACCAGCTGGAGAAGAGGGAGCTGGAGGGCGTCATCCTGGAGCTGCAGGAGCAGCTGTGAGTGGGGGTCCCTGGGTGCCCCGTGGGTGGGTGGGGGGACCCCAGGGCCCCACGGACCCTGAGGGGCAGGGTGAGTGGTGGGTCCCTTCACCCCCTATGTGGGGTGTGTGGGGTGCGGGGTTCCCAGTACCTGAGTCCCCAGTATCCCATAGGTCGCATGGGATGTGATGGGTGGCAGGACCCCAGTGCCCAGGGACCCCATATACACTGCACAGCATGGAGGGTCCCCAGTGTCCCCTATGTCCTGTGGGACATGGGGGTCCCAGTGTCCCATAGACCCCATGGGGTGTGATGGGTGGCATGTCCCTGGTACCCAGGGACCCCATATACACTGTACAACACAAAGAGTCCTCAGTGTCCCCTGTATCCTGTGGGACGTGGGGGGTCCCTGTGTCCCATAGACCCCATGGGGTGTGATGGGTGGCAGGGCCCTGGAATCCAGGG